CATATACTCACAAACTATTGAAAATTATTCCTATATGCTAAGCCCCCCCCCCCCCAAAAAAAAGTACGCGTCATAGATACGTTTTCCTTCTCCCACGTGTTTCTTTGCCAGGCAGCTGGGTAACAAGACCAAACTAATCGACCAACGTTGGTTTAACCAGCGTTATTGTCCGTGTTGCTCGGCTCGCTCCGAGCTTCTTGCCATCTGTCACATCACTGACAGACAACCGGTCTTCTAGTGGATCTCTCGGGGATATCTTAATTTCACGGAGGGCGGGAAGACTGGGTTGACTCGGGACATTGCCGCAGGAAATATTGAAAGATTCGCCTTCTCATGTTTGGAAGATAAATTAAATTCCCGTGCGATTAAATAATAATTAGTTATTTGAACAAAACAAAGCAGATCATGTTATACAAGTAGTCTCTCAAGAACATGCAGGGAATGGGGTGTATTTCCTGACATCTAAACCAGATAACATAATAGAAATACAAAAGTAAATGAAAATGGAATAGGCTTGTTTGTTTGTATGTTTTAGAACTTTTGCGCAAAGATACACAAGAACTATTTACTCACACCCCTCCCTAATATTTAAATGACGGAGATAAAGGAAAGTCAGCTAATAAACACCACCCACTGTTAGCTCTTGAGCTACTTTTGTCCAAACAAATAATCGTATGTCGCATCTACAGACCCAAAGTGCGAAGCAAGTTCTTGTAGCATAATAATACAAACCATGATTCTCCAGATAGATCGGTCCAAAGCGATTTACTTTATCGTGAAAATTACTGTTGTCACCATTCCTGTACCGATTAAAACAAAAAAACATATATTTGTGATGCATAAGAATCCTACTATTTTGGAATACCTTGTAAATGGATATGCTTGTGTTTTTAACCCACAAAGGCATTTTCATTCTTAGCGGCTATCATGTTTTGGAATTCTAAACAAGTTCCCAATCACCCTTTTTCTTTCTTACTTTTTTTTTTGTTGTTGCACTGTGCGATATATCGATTTAATAAACTAGGCTTAACCGCAGAGTTAATTACGGTTTGTTTTTTTATGTATATTTTGTTTGTGGTCAGAACTAATGTTTGATGCGTAGGATGACAGATTTCGAAATGTTGTATCTTTCTGAAAAATTGGCTATTGTCTGTTATAAACATTTTGTAGAAACTCGTATACTTCAGATTATCATACCTAGTATCCAGCATGACTCATGAATTGATATTTTAAAACTGGACTGATTAATTTACTCAAAATAAATATACAATATAGGCAATACTATTTTATAATTTCCGACGGTTCATTGATCAAGATATAGAGGTATGAATGAAATAAGGATCAGAAAGAACTTGAGAAAAATGTATTGTAAGCCAAACTTAAAATTCATGTACAAAAGCTTTATACTCTCACAAAGGGTATAAACCCACGTAGTTTCAAAAAGTGGTCCATTTCCCACCAGCTAAAACAGAATTTCTTTCTTCATTCGAAATAACAAAAATGGAATGTCATGTTTTCGGAATGCGGAGAAACATTGAGTTGGTGACTAGCCCTGTCCATTTGTATGTAAGTTCGAAAACTCAGAAATAGTTTAAACATCGTGTCGTTCAACACTAACAAGTCACTCAACGTTTTTCTGGTAGCACGTGCACTAACAAGTCACTCAACTTTTTTCTAGTAGCACGTACACTAACAAGTCACTCAACGTTTTTCTAGTAGCACATACACTTACAAGTCACTCAACTTTTTTCTAGTAGCACGTGCACTAACAAGTCACTCGACGTTTTTCTAGTAGCACATACACTAACAAGTCACTCAACTTTTTCTAGTAGCACGTGCACTAACAAGTCACTCACGTTTTTCTAGTAGCACATACACTAACAAGTCACTCCACGTTTTTCTAGTAGCACATACACTAACAAGTCACTCGACGGTTTTCTAGTAGCACATACACTAACAAGTCGCTCAACGTTTTTCTAGTAGCACGTGCACTAACAAGTCACTCAACGTTTTTCTAGTAGCACGTGCACTAACAAGTCACTCAACTTTTTTCTAGTAGCACATACACTAACAAGTCGTTCAACATTTTTCTAGTAGCACATACACTAACAAGTCACTCAACGTTTTTCTAGTAGCACATACTCTAACAAGTCACTCGACGTTTTTTTAGTAGCACATACACTAACAAGTCACTCAACGTTTTTCT